TCATATTCAGAACAGCGCATAGCTTGTTATTTGCATCTATTTTCTTTTCTCTTTCTTTTTTCCTATTTACACAGGTTTCTCAAGAGTTAGCTGCAACATCATTGTTGTGGACAGGGATTAAGAGATACAGATCCCTGGTAGTTGGGTTGATTGCAAGTCCTATGAGTCATTTAACCTTCTCACTTCCCATTCCTCCTTCATATACCCAGGTGTGTATTGGTTTTCAAAGGATATCAGTATGGGTGTCATATGGTACGAATGGAAAGAATCAGATCAGTCAGTACAGAAAGTACAGAATTCTACTTCACTAATAGCAGTTTCATCAGGGCTGAACTACACATTACACCATACGAGTATCTGCTAGATCTAAGAAAACAAGTGGAAATAATGTATATTTCACATTATTACCAATTAAATGGATATATTAACAAACCTTTGTGGAGACTGATACCAAGAGAATTAATACAATCTATATATTTTATTTTTATTTATTTCTTGAGATGGAGTTATTGAGCCCATTGTATTCAGCCTGGAAAATCTGGAGAACTCCTGGAGATCAGAAATATTATCCCAAGCTCTATTTTCTTACCTATATAATGAGCCTGATGGTAGCCTTCCATCTGCTTTGCACGAGAGGGCAGCAGTGTCTAACAAATTAACATTCTCCACTTAACCCAAATGAAAGTGTGGTTTCATCTGTTAGCCAGATGGTTTTCTCTTCTGCTTCCGAATTGTCATTCAATAGGTCTCTGGAGACCATCCTTTCCCAAGAGACTTTCTCATAATTCCCTTTTTTAGCTCTGAGATAAAATTGCTCCACTTTCTTCTTTTTTTCATTTGCAGACCAGTGGAAACAACAACAAACACAAAGAAGTGATCAACTGTCATATTCTGCTGGACAGTCTGTGGAACTATGTCTTGGGAGGTCTGTTTGGAATGGTTCAATTCTTTCCTCGGTGGCTAACTCCTAATAATACTGATATGCTTCCAGTGGGTACATATTATACAAATTTTACAGACCATGCCATGACTTCTGATTACCTTCCAAGGGCAATTTAATGTCCTGATTTCAACCTACACAAACTTTTGGCTTGGCACAGAGTTAACTAAAGTATTCATCTGTCCATTGGAATTGGCTCTACAATACTGAATACTGGTTGTGCCCCATATTGGCGATGGCAGAGCAAATACAATAGTGTAAGCCATGTTTTTCGCTTCCATATTTGTATAAAAAAAATAAATTTGAAGCCTGAGATGGATGGAAAAATTAATAGATGCTACAGAATACAAAAGTACAACAATAACCATATTTTGAGAAGTATCTGAAAAATTGCTACAAAAGGTAAGAAAGTGTATTCTTGATAGATGCTCACTTAGGGGACTCTGGATAACATATGGATTTCAGTTTTGACTGAATTTCTTTAGTTGCAACTGTGGGAATTAGTTCCACTAAATGTGATGTACATCTCCATCATGCAGAGAACTAGGCAATCAGTTCTCTACCAGCTTTAATATTACCGAAATACTCAAATAATGCATTACGGTGATTGTTCAAGATATGACTTTCCTTCTGAGAAAATCAACCTGTTGCTTTTCATGTTTCTTAAAGATTAAAATAAATATTTTTAACTCATGTTAGGTCATTTTCAGCATGTCTACAATGTAGGATGAAGGCAATCTAGAAGGTCAAAGCTGCATGTGGCTCTTTTATCCTGAGGATTATGTAAATTCAGTGACAGCTTCCTGTTCAAAGGAACCATATCATCTTGCTCTCCTGCTGCACTCGAAAACTTAAAGGTTGAGTGCTTGTCTGAATATTTTTCCATCAGTAAGAATCCTTCACACTTTTGAGCGAGCAAAAATGGCACTCTGGCTAAACATCATGTTCTTGTTAGTTGTCCTCGGAGGTATTATTTTCCCCTTCAAAAATAGTGGCCATTCCTCAGGTTCTTGGGCTTACCTGCAGGAAGTCTTATTAAACAACCTTTCTTTCTAGGTGCCCAATCTGAGGTGCAGTTGGTGGAAACTGGAGGGGATGTGAGAAGACCTGGAGAGTCCCTCCGTCTCTCCTGCCAAGCCTCTGGATTCACCTTCAGCAGCTCCTGGATGAGCTGGGTGAGACAGGCTCCAGGGAAAGGCCTGGAATGGGTGGCAAGGATACGCTATGATTCTGCTACTATTTACTACCCTGACAAAGTTAAGGGACGCTTCACCATCTCCAGGGACAATGCCAAAAGCCAGCTGTATTTGCAAATGAACAGCCTCAAAGCTGAAGACACAGCAGTCTATTACTGTGTGAGAGACACAGTGAGAGAAGCTATATGTGAAGCCACGCAAAAACTGCCCATTTCACACAGCAGCTCTGAAAATTTCTTTTCTAATAAAAAACCACTTTATTAATTCAGATTCTCCTTTCATGTGTTTATTCTGCACTTCAACCTTCATCCATTCGGTCTATAGAAATGAGCCTCTTTTTAGTTCATGTATTGAGCACCACACTTCAATTTCATAGTCAATCCAGTTTAATATTTACCCAATCTACTCATTCTTGATCCTCTCCCTGTCATTTCACCACCAGTGACAGCTTCCTGTTGCTCTCATCCTGCTTGCCTGCTGCAGTGAACAGCTCAAAAGCTGAGCGCTTGTCTGAATGTTTTCCCATCATTAAAAATCCTCAAAACCTTTGAGCAAGCAAAAATGTCACTCTGTCTAAACCTCATGTCCTTGTTAGTTCTCCTCACAGGCTCCAGGGAAAGGACTGGAAAGGGTGGCATGTATATGGTCTTCATATATTCACTACTCTGATCCATTCTGTCTATAGGATCCATTCAGTCTACAGGAATGATCCTCTTGTTTTTTTAATGTAATAAAGGCCACATTTCAATTTTATACTCAATCCAGCTTGATATTTGTTCAATCTACTAATTCCTGACCCCCTGCCTCTCTTCACCCATATTTCCTAGCCCTTAATTTAGTAATGTTATCATAAATTTATCTAAATTAAATCAGGAAAAAACAGTTTGGTGTTGAAAACCAAAGTCAATGTCTAACTTCTGAGCTGGGACAAATTGATCGACTTAACCTACCTTTCTTATAAACTGGTTTTATCTCCGCCCTGAAACTCAGATGCCAATGAATCACTGAGATGTTCCTCCTTTAAATAATCACAAACACACAAAAGAGCTTCACAGACCCAATGCTCTGATTGGCCTAAAGGAAAGGTTGTATTTCTCACTATCCATTGGATTTTGCCATTCTTCATCTTCTTTCCTGCTTTGCTTTATGTTCCAGGTAGACCTGAACAATGAGTTAAAACAAAAGCAGGATTGTGTGGGATGGTGATAGCTGGAGTACATCCTATGCCTCATCTCTCCAATATCAAACAACCTTGACAGCCGATGACTCCCGCAATGAATTATATTTGACAATGAAGTCCCTGACTTCTGCTGACTCAGTGACATATTTTTAGCTCTGAGATAAAATTGCTTCCCTTTCTTCCTTTTTCATTTGCAGACCAAGTTTGATATGTTTGAAACTATTCCTCTCTCTTTGTTCACTGCTTGTCCTCTTTTATTTATTCTTATCTACAGATGGGTATGATAGAAACATGAAAAAAAAATGCATGGAAGAAACCTAGCAGTGTATTGGTGAATCGTCACTCATAGACTGCTAATGCTGAGAAAGGGAAGGGAAGGGAATCGGAAAGGAATCGGAAAGGAATCGGAAGGGAATTGGAAGGAAAGAAAGAATGTTGTGAAAGCAGTGGAAACAACAACAAACATAAAATAGATATCAACTGTCATATTCTGCTGGACAGTCTGTCGAACTAGGTTTGGAAGGTCTGTTTTGAATGGTTCAATTCTTTCCTCAGTGGCTAACTCCTAATAATCCTGATAGCCTTCCAGTGGGCACATATTAAATAAATTTTGCAGACTATGCAATGACTTCTGATTCCAAGAGCAATTTAATGTGCTTATTTCATCCTATGCAAACCTTTGGCTTGGCCCAGAGTGAGCTAAATAATTCCTCTGTCCATTGGAACTGGATCTACACTATTGATTAGGTAAGGGGGAAAAAGCTGGTTGTCCCCCATATTGGGGAGGGCAGAGGAAATACAAAAGAGTAAATCATGTTTTTTGCTTCTATACTTGTATAAAAAAAATAAATTTGAAGCATGAGAGAGAGAGATGGATAAAGTAACAGATGCCATGCATTACAAACTACAACAATAATCATATTTTGAGAAGTATCTAAAATATTGCTATAAGTTAAGAAGGTGTATCCTTAATAGATGCTCACATATGGATTAAAATAAATATACTTCAACTGATGTTGGGACATTGTCAGTCATGTCTACAGTGGAGGATGAAGACACTCTGGAAATTCAAAGCAATGTGTATCTCTTTTATCCTGAGGGCTATGTAAATTCAGTGACAGCTTCCTGTTAAAAGGGACCATATCTTTCTGTTCTCCTGCTCCACTCAACATCTCAAAGGTTGAGTGCCTGACTGAATGTTTTCCCATCAGTAAGAATTCACCAAGGTTTTCAGCAACCAAAAATGGCACTCTGGCTAAACCTCATGTCCTTGTTACTTGTCCTCAGAGGTATTAATTTCCCCTCCAAAGAGAGGGATTATTCCTCAGTTTCTTAGGTTTCCCTGCAGGAGGTCTTATTAAACAACCCTTTCTTTCTAGCTGTCCAATCTGAGATTCAGTTAGTGGAGTCTGGAGGGGATGTGAGAAGACCTGGAGAGTCCCTCCATCTCTCCTGCCAAGGTTCTGGATTCACCTTCAGAAGCTATGAGATGGTCTGGGTGAGACAGGCTCCAGGGAAAGGACTGGAATGGGTTGCTTATATATGGTCTTCAAATATTTACTACTCTGACAAAGTGAAGGGACGCTTCACCATCTCCAGGGATGATGCCAAAAGCCAGCTGTATCTGCAAATGAACAGCCTCAAACCAGAGGACACAGCCATCTATTACTGTGCTGGAGACACAGTGAGAGGAAATATATGTGAAGCCAAGCAAAAACTGCCTATTTCACCCAGTGGTTCTGCAAATTTCTTTTCTAAGAAAAAACAGCTTCATTAATTCAGATTTTCCCTTCATGTCTTCATTCTGTACACCAACCTTCATCCCTTCAATCCATAGGTACAAGCCTCTTTTTGTTCATGTAGTGAACACCACATTTCAATTTCATATTCAATCCAGGATGATATTTATTCATTCTACTTATTCCTGACCCTAACGCTTTCATTTCACCACCTATATTTCTTGGCTCTTAATTTAGTAATGTTATCATAAATTTATCTAAGTCCTAAGAGTCAGGTAAACCTTTTTTCATTCCTCCTCAGTATATCCAGATGTATATTGGTTTTCAAGCCAGGGCAATACGAATATGAGATGGTAAGAATGGAAAGAATCTGATCAGTCCCTGTACAGAATTCTACTTCACTGATAGCTGTTTCATCCAGGCTGAACTTCACATTACATCTGAGAATATGAGTTTCTGCTAGTTCTAAAGAAAAAAAGTGCTTATAATGTATATTTTACACTATTGCCAATTAAATGGATATGTTAAATATTTTCATAATGAAACTTTCTGGAGACTGATTCCAAGTCAATAAATATATCATATTTTATTTTTATTTATTTATTTCCTGAGCTGGGGCTATTGAGCTCATTCTATTCAGCCTGGAAACTCTGGAGAACTCCTGGAGAGCAGAAAGATTGTCCCAAGCCCTAGTTTCTTACTTTTATAATGAGCCTGATGGCTCCCTTCTGCCTGCATTGCACAAGAGGGAAGCAACATCCAACAAATTGACATTCTCCACTTAACACAAATGAAAGTGTGGTTCCAGATGGTTTCCTCTGCTGCTTCTGAATTATTACTTAATAGGTCTCTGGAGACCATCTTTTCCCAAGAGACTTTCTCATAATTCTTTATTTATTTATTTTTAACTCAGAGATAAATTTATCTCTCTTTCTTCCTTTTTCACTTGAAGACAAAGCATGATATGTTTGAAACAGTTCCTCTCTCTTCGGTGACTCCTTGCCCTCTTTATTTATTCATAAGTACAGATGGGTATGATAGAAACATGAAAAAATATTGCATGGAACACACCTAGCAGTGTTTTGATGAATCATCCTTCAGAGTTTGCCAATGCTGAGGAAGGGAAGGACAGGGAAGGGAAGGAAAGGAAAGGAAATTGGAAGCAAATTGGAAAGGAATTGGAAGGGAATTGGAAGGAAAGGAAAAATGTTTCCAAGCAGTGGAAACAACCACAACCACAAAATAGTTATCAACTGTCATATTCTGCTGGACAGGCTGGAACTGAGTATTGGGAAGGGAGTGTCTGTTTTGAATGTTTTAATTCTTTCCTTGTTTGCTAACTCCAGAAAATTCTGAAGTGCTTCCCAGTGGGCACATATCACACCAATTTTGCAGACCATGCCATGACTGCCGATTATCTTCCAAGGGGAATTTAATGTGCTGATTTCAACCTATGCCAATCTTTGTCTTGGCATAGAATGAACTACGGAATTCCTCTGTATATTGGAATTGGCTCTACACTATTGGTCAGATCAGGAAAAAAAGCTGGTTGTCCCCCAGATTGGGAGGGCAGAGCAAATAAAAAAGTGTAAATCATGTTCTTTGCTTCTATATATAAAAAAATAAATTTAAAGCATGAGAGAGAGAGAAAGATGGATAAAGTAAAAGATGCCATGGATTACAAACTACAACAATAAACATATTTTGAGAAGTATCTAAAAAAATTGCTACAAGGTATGAAAGTGTGTCCTTAATAGATTCTCACTTAGGGGACTCTGTCTAAAATATGGAATTCAGTTTTGACTATTTCTTTCCTTGCAAATGTGGGAAATAGTTTGACTAGATTTGATTCTCATCTCCATCATACACAGAACTAGATAATCAGTTCTCTACCAGCAATATAATTCCCCAAATGATGCAGCACATTGAGTCTTTGGGATACAATTTTCCTTCTGACAAAATCAAGCTGTTGCTTTACATGTTTCTTAAGGATTAAAATGAATATACTTTATTTGACATTAGGGCTATTTTCAGCATGTCTGCAATGGAGGATGAAGGCACTCTAGAAACTCAAAGCAGTGTGTATCTCTTTTATCCTGAGGGCTATGTAAATTCAGTGACAGCTTCCTGTTGAAAGGAACCATATCTTCCTGTTCTTCTGCTCCACTCAACATCTCAAAGGTTGAGTGCTTCTCTGAATGTTTTCCCTTCAGTAAGAATTCACCAAGATTTTCAGCAACCAAAAATGGCACTCTGGCTAAACCTCCTGTCCTTGTTAGTTGTCCTCATAGGTATTATTATTTTCCCCTCCAAAGAGAGGGATTATTCCCCAGTTTCTTGTGTTTCCCTGCAAGAGGTCTTATTAAACAACTTTTCTTTCTAGGTGTCCAATCTGAGGTTCAGATAGCGGAGTCTGGAGGGGATGTGAGAAGACCTGAAGAGTCCCTTCGTCTCTCCTGCCAAGCCTCTGGATTCACCTTCAGAATCTATGAGATGGTCTGGGTGAGACAGGCTCCAGGGAAAGGACTGGAATGGGTGGCTTTTTTATGGTCTTCAAATATTTACTACTCTGACAAAGTGAAGGGACGCTTCACCATCTCCAGGGAAGATGCCAAAAGCCAGGTGTATCTGCAAATGAACAGCCTCAAACCAGAGGACACAGCAGTCTATTACTCTGCAAGAGTTACACAGTGAGAGGAAGTGAATCTAAAGCCAAGCAAAACTGCCTATTTCACCCAGCAGTTCTGCAAATTTCTTCTCTAATAAAAAACAGCTTCATTAATTCAGATTCTCTCTTTGTGTCTTCATTCTGTACATCAATCTTCATCCTTTCAATCTATAGGAAAGATCCTCTTTCTTTTCTAAATATAATGAAACCACATTTCAATTTCATACTTAATTCATTTTGATATTTGCTCAATCTACTCATTCCTGACCCTATCCCTCTCAGTTCCCCATACATATTTCTTAGCCCTTAATTTAGTAATCTGTGAAAAGATTGAAAAGCCCTGGACTAGGACTCTTAGGTGCCTCTCACAGGTACTGTTTTTGAGCCAGGTCTCACCTAATCTGTACTTGTACCCTTGATTTTTCCTGCCTAAAAGTACATCTTTGTTTTTCTCCACACTGAAAGTCATTTTGTTGGATAGGGCCTAGTGTTCAAATCTGTCAAGAACTTTTTGGATCCTGAGCTTGTCTTCTGGGGTGTTGGCTATTTCTGCCCTCTTAGTGTCATCTGCAAATTTGATGAGTTCACCTTCTATTCCCTCATCTGTCATTTATGAATATATTAAAGAGTACCAGGCCTAAGATGGAGCCTTGTGGTTCCCCACTGCTTACTTTCCTCCATGTAGATGTAGTATCATTAAGGACTACTCATTAAGTATAGTTTGTCAGCCAGTTACAAATCCATCTGGTAGTGAAGCTGCCTATCCCACATTTTTCTAATTTTCCAAGAAGTAGGTTGTTGAATGCCTTGCTAATTATACTATGTCCACAGCATTTCGCAGCTCTACTAATTTAGTCACTTGTCAAAGAATGAAATAAGATTGGTTTGACATGATCTGTTTTTAACAAACCTGTCCTGGCTATTAGTTATAATGTTATTTGTTTCTAGATGTTCACAGATCTGTTATTATTATTATTATTATTATTATTATTATTATTATTATTATTATTATTATTATTATTATTATTATTATTATTATTATTATTGGTCATTGCACAGTCAGCCAGATGTTTAGACTGGATTTGGCATTTTTGTCTACCTATCGAGTCCTTACCAAGGACCTGAGTGGATGTTTGATGGTATTACAGATGGAAGCAGTTCCTAGTAAGGCCGCCTTTTGCAATTGACTAATGACGAATTTGTCAATGCCAATGGTGTTCAAGTGGTGCTCCAGTTGTTTTGGGATTGCACCCAAGGTGCCTATTACTATTGGTACTACCCTTGCTTGCTTTTCCCAGTCTTTCTATTTCTATTTGTAGGTCTTTGTATTTTGTTATCTTCTCCAGTTCTTTCTCATCTATTCTGCTGTCTCCAGGCACTATTATTATTATTATTATTATTATTATTATTATTATTATTATTATTATTATTATTATTATTATTATTATTATTATTATTATTATTATTATTATGGCTCATCGCACAGTCAGCCAGATGTTCAGACTGGATTTGGCATTTGTTGTTGTTGTTGTTGTTGTTGTTATTATTATTATATTATTATTATTATTATTATTATTATTATTATTATTATTATTATTATTATTATTATTATTATTATTATTATTATTATTACTACTATTATTATTATTCTCCAGTATCTTCCCAGGTTTTGATGTTAGGCTGATTGATCTGTAGTTTTCTGACTCTGGTTTTTTCCCCCTTTTTTGAAGATGGGAACCACATCAGCTCTTTTCCAATCCTCAGGTAGTTCCCCAGTGTTCCAGGATTTTTGAAAGATAATGTACAATGGTTCTGAGATAACATCTGCCAGCTCCTTCAGAACTCTGGGATATAATCCATCAGGTCATGGTGATTTATATTTTTCAAGGTCATACAAGTGTTCTCTAACCATTTTCTTGCTTATTTTAATTTTTATTTCTAGTCTATCTTTTACAGTTACAATTTTGGTAGGTTGGGCTATAGTTCTCTCTATAGTCTCCCCCCTCTCTCTCAATTCACCACCCATATTTCTTAGCCCTTAATTTAGTAATGTTTTCATACATTTATCTTAATTAAATCAGGGGAAATAGTTGGTGTTGTAGATGTGAAACCATAGTCAAATTCCAACTTCTGGTCCAGGACTAATTGATAGACTTAGCCTTCCTTTCTTGTAAACTGGTTTAATCTTCCCATGAAACCCAGATGCAAATGAGATCACTGTGGTGTTTCTCCTTTAAATAATCACAAACACACAAATGAGCATCGCTCAGGTGCATTGGTCTAAAGAAAATGAGCTTTCATTACTGTCCAATGGATCTTGCCATTCTTCTTCTTTGCTTAGTAGTAGCTCCTGTGTGTGAATATCATCCAGATGGACCTGAACAATGAGATAAAGCAAAAGCAGAGTTATTTACTTATTCTTGCTTTGTCATTTATTTAGATGTCCATTCCTCCATCCAACTTGTGGAATCTGGGCCAGGAAGAGTGAACCCTGGAGGATCCTTCAGATTACCTTGCAAAGTGATGGGTTAATCCATCAAGAATGTATACTGGGAGTGGATCCACCAGGCTCCAGGAAAAGGATTGGAATGGGTGGGCCAAATAGACTGGGATGGAAGTAAGTGGAGTATATCCTATGCCTCATCCCTCCAAAGCCGAACAACTTTGTCTGCTGATGACTCCCACAATGAATAATGAGGAAGTATGAAAAACTCATATTCAGAGGAATTCTGCATGCTATTTGCTTCTTTCTTTTCTCTTTCTTTTGATTCTTTTCTTCTATTTGCAGTTTTCTCAAGAACTGTCTTCTACAACATAACTGTCATAGACAAGGATTAAGAGATGCAATGCTCTGCTATTTAACCTTTTCTCTTCCCATTCATTAATCATTCATTAGCTAGTGAAACAAATTGCCTTGATGTTTGAAACAGTTCCTGTTTCTTGGTTCACTCAATGTGATTTACATCCCTATCATTCAGTGACTTAGTTTCCAATCAGGAGATTTATATTTCCCAAATCTCATGGGTCTCCTGGCTGAGAAAAAAATAAACTTCTGTTGATCTTGATTCTTAGTGATATGGAACATTGATGTGGTTTGCTCCTTTCGCTTTTTGAGATTTGTTTTCTTTCAGCTTTGTAGCTTGATCTGCAATTCGAGGATTTCCTGCCAGTTTCTCATTCAAGTTGTAAAGGAATCCAATCCTGCTGAGATGTTGGCCAATGAGACACAACTAATGGAATGGTCAGATAAAAGGCAGTTCAGCCTGCAGCAGAATTGATGGGACAACTAGCCAACTCACCATAGCCAACTTGCCATGGGCCAAGTCAACATGGGACAATTTAACAATTTAATCTAATTATTTAAAAAAAATATTTTAATTTTTCTCATTCACATTTTATTTTGTCCCTCTTTCTTCATCCCTTCTTTAAAAAGATTTCATTCTACCATTTCTTAAATTTTAGTATAACTCTTGTTTCACAGTGAGTTGTAGTGCAACAAATTAGCTGTAATGAGTTGGCTGCGGCAAGATGGCTATGATGAGATGGCCGTGGTGAGATGGCCATGGTAAATGGTCCATAGGTAAATGGTCCTAGAACTGAAGCAGGAATGTGGGTGGGACAAGAAGCTTGGAAGAGACTCCCCCTGATATGAAACCATTGTAGATTCTCCACGAGTAAATTACAATAATAGGTTTGCATGCACACTGAGAGCTTTGCACCAGAGACAAATTCCTGGTGTATCTAATCACACTTGGTGAAATAAATATTCAATTAATTTAATTCAATAATGAAGGTATCTTTAGCCTGATGGCTCCCTTCTACCAGCTTTGCCCAAGAGGGCAGCAGTGTCCAACAAACTGACATTCTCCACTTAACACAAATGAAAGTGTGGTTTCAGCTGTTGGCCAGATGGTTTTCCCTCCTGCTTCCAAACTATCACTCATCAGGCCCCTGAAGACCATTCTTTCCCAAGAGACTTTCTCATAATTCTTTTCTTAACCTCTGAAATAAAATTGTTCCCCTTTCTTCCTTTTTCATCTGCAGACCAAATTTGATCTGTTTGAAAGAGTTCCTCTCTCTTGGTTCAATATCTGCCCTCTTTGTTCATTCATAACTATGGATGGGGTGACAGAAAGATGCAGAAAAATGTATTTGGGTGGAACAAACAAAGCACAGAGAGGAAGGGAAGGGAAGGGAAGAGAAGGGAAGGGGAGGGGAGGGAAGGGAAGGAGGAGGGGAAGAGAAGGGAAGAGAGGGGAAGGGAAGGAGAGGAAAGGAAAGGAAAGGAAAGGAGGGGAGGGAGGGGAGGGGTGATGGGAAGGGAAGAGAAGGGAAGGGAAGGGAAGGGAAG